TAAAAAGACATTAACTGAAGAGGTTGTTCCTTATTATTATTTAAGTAAATCACTAAGGCTTTTAAATGACTTTTTTTTGAATAATATTTTATTAGGAGGTCAAGTATTATATGGCACATTTATGTAAAGGCGTAGTTAAAAGGTATGAATTACCGGGTTGTAATGGATTAAATTTCGTATTAACTAAAAGTTTAGGTAAGATTTATTTAATATTTTTCACTTTAACAATATTCTTCTTATTAATTTTAGTATATCTAAATAGGAGGGGGAGGATTGAGTACTTTAAATACTGATAGACAGGGGAAAACATACGCTCAAATGCTGCTTAGTTATGAACTAGATGTTCCTTCGAATTGGTTTTCTAAACTTTAAACTAATATATCATGAATTTTATGGTTCGAAAATTTGTATAAACAAAATTATGTGAATTCATATACATTAAATTTATTCCTACGTTAGAGATTACAAAAACCAAATGATTAAATTTTATTGATGATATGGATGGGATTAAGATTTAATTTATATAATTAGATAAGGAACAAAAAAAAAAAGAGAGAAGCAAATCGTTGTTATAAAAAATATATTATAAAATTAGCTAGATATGAGAATTATCCTTACAAAATAAATTATTTTTATGATATATATAAAAGAAAGTCTTATCATCATTGAAAAATTTAAAATATTTCATATGGCTTTGAATAACCTTTTCTTATTCACAAAATCAATTATTAAATTAGGTCTTAAACTTAATTAAAATTTAAAATATAATTTTATTGATTTTACTTTTACCTTTTTCTTTATTTATCTTTTTCTAATAATACTACTTGTACTTGATTAATTATGATAAAAAAATTTCATAAATTATGGTTTTATCAGATTTAAAGTTATTTTTTAATATAGAAATATCTTGATTTTATATGTAATTGCTTTTTAAAATAACTAAAATTATTTGCATTAATAATGAATAAATTAATTAGACATGTAAATTTTAAATTTTTTAAATATAATTATAAATCAGTATATAAAGTATAAATTTAATTATATATTTAGAAATTTTTA